AGTGTTTCACTTCTCCTCTGATCCCTGCTGCATACAGAAGGGGGGAGAGCAGAGGATACAGAGGAGAAGGCCCTCTTCTCCCTGCTGGCTGAGCCCTGGCTGCACCCCTACCCCCCTGCACCTGCGCCCAAGGCGCCTCAGGTTGCCTCGCCCTTTCTACAGCCCTGATCATGGCCACTAGATGGAGCCGAGGAGCATGGGTATTTCCTTTGCTCCATCTAATGGCAGTAATGCCCTGCGAATGGCATTTGCTCAGCTATACGCTGGGCATAAGTTTTGCGTGTAGAATCTAGAGATTTTTATTTCAAGCCAATGCGTTTTTGGAGCCAGGCAGAGCCCCCTTTATCAGGGTTAAAAAACATATAATATGAATATACAGTATGTTTAAAATACGTAAAAAATTACATTTTAAAATTAATATATGAAAGAGTACAATGAAATGCTGAAATCTAAGGAAATGTAAGGATAGGTTTACTGTCCAAAAAGAAGATTAAATAAAATGTACGGTTATTGCAAATATAGTTATATAGAATATACAGATATAAAAAAATATATAGGTATGCAAGCAGAAATGTAAAACGTTTAGTTTAACTTTAACTTTAAAAAAATAAATAACACAGCATTGTAATGTTTGGAACTATTGTTTATTATAAAAAATGTTTTATCAGACCATAACTCATTTATGCTTATGCTACTAGTTACCGTACCTATTTTGTAAAAAATTTTTTACATAGAGTGAACTAATTTTAACTAAATGTTTTTACATTTCCATAAGCATACTTTCTAGATTTTTAATTGAATAATTCAATATTTCTGCATACTGGGCTAGTGACTCAAAATGTAACAAATCTATTAAACAAGCATGACAACCAACCCAAGCAGAAATCGCTGGTGTCTTGGCAATATCTATTTCACTCTAGGTAGGTTTCCTTTCAAGGGAATTTATGGTGTTTTTGTACATAATGACTTTTCTTATGTGATTAGGACTAAAAAAAATAATAATAATGTAAAATAATATGCTTATAGGTAAATTAAAAATATTGCATATTAATATTTTGCATTTTTTAACCAACAAGTGTCGCTATAGGCTCCTTTTTCATGTTTTCCAGGCTCACCTCTTTCTTCTTTCATGAGAAAAAGCCTGTTATTTACAGAGCTCAATACCGCAAACTAGAATTTACACACAAAAGTGAAATTAGTCAAATCAATGACTCGTTCTTTATCAGATAGCTCAATCTGACGTTTCAGTCAGACAAAAGAAGCCTCAAAGCAGGCAGCATTTGCTTTGCTATCTCTTTAGCTTACCCAAAGTGGGATTCCTCTTTTATGTAAGAAGAACTTTGTAAAACAAAGACTGTATATAGATAGTAAATACACAGGTTCAAAACAATTGTTTAAAAATGTATACACTTACAAAGAATTAAAAAAAACTGACCTTAAATCATTATAGTTTTCCTTCAAAATGTGTTTGCAATTAAGTAGCACCCATGGTAGTAGCAGTCAACCCAATTGCTCATTTCTCATTTAGTTTAGGAAATGAAACTTGTTTGGTTCTGGCGCAATTACAGTATTGTTTTGAAGCAGCATTTTGTAAATAAGGCTCAATGCATTAGCTTCACTCAGAAGGATATTTTTTATTTCTTTGTATTTTTCTTTAAAATGTATTTTTTTCATTTATCCATCAGAGTGATACAAAGGGAGACTACAGGTCAGCCTTGCTGCTGTTGTGCAGGGCTGAGGACATCTGAAGATACAGCTGACAAGCTATCTGGTATGAGAATCCATCAGCATGAGGATCTGTCCCGGGATGTTCGGCAGAAATACTTTTACTACCTACTTGACTACCTGGCCAAAAAGGATCGTGTTATTCTGTACACATCAAACAATGTTCTACGCTACTCCAAAGTGTGATGTGCTCAGTTACTTTTCCATTAAAATAATATTTCATAAGACCTTTTTTTTTCGCTAGTTCTTTCAGAAATGGGATTGTAGATAAACTTAGACATAATAAGTCCTCATACTTATATTATTTCTCATGTTTACAAATACCATATGCATTATAACACACTTGTGAGAACCAAAGCCTAGATCAGCACTTCTCAACCTTTTAAAAGTATGAAAATTCTTGAGGAATCCCAGTTTAAAATGTAAAAAAACATAAGATTAAAAATCAACACCAAACACTTATTCTAGACAGGGGGTCTGGTATGGATTTCCCCCTTTACCTCAGAGTCTCCCCCTTTGACATCAGGGGCCCCTCTTCACATCAGGAGTATTCTTTGTAAAGTGAAATTTCACCAAGTTCAACAAACCAAGGGAAACTTGCAAAGTATAGTAAATAGCCTATTTGCCTCAGAAAACAACCAATTTGTTTCTAGTACATTTGGGTTTAGTATCCCTGATAAAAACTAGTTAGTACATGTCATTTAAACTTGTGGTCCCCTCAAAAATCAATACCAAACCCTTATTCTAAACAGTACCCCAGATTTTTTTAAATGACATGGAGTTTTCCCATTTACCTTTAGAGTCTTCCACATTCACATCAGGAACCTCACCTCAGAGTCTCCCATTTCAGACCAGGATCTCCCCTTTACATTACAGTCCCTCTTTTGACAGAAGCTCCCTGCCTTGACATCAGAAGCTCTCTCCTGTAGCAAAAATGACACCCCAGGCAGCCACGGAGCCATGGTTAAGAAAGGCTGTTCTAGATAATAAAAACTTCATGTTGTTGCCTCCATTATTGTAGTGAGGAGCAAATGTATACTTTTGTATCAGAGTAAGGTCTGGCATTATTTACCCAAAGCCAATGTTAAATGACTAGTTAGATCAAGAATCCAAAGAATTATAATTAAAAATATACAGAAGATAACACTTCCTTTAGTACTTTATAAGGATATTAGAATCAAGGCGATGTTCCATAACCATATACAAGCACAAAAGCACAGCACTGGATCATAGAACTCCAATTTGACTTGTAATGTCTTGTAACTTGTAGAGTATGGATTCTATATAATAAATTCAACCATGGCCTTTATACTCAACCTCCATGGCCTTTATACTCACCCACCAATCTCTTGCAAACTCCCCTTAACTGTATGTACCCCTTTGGCCGCTCTGCCTTCCTCTGACCCCTAACTGTGTCCTCCTCCTGTTTGAAATAATGTATGCCACATCTGCTCCTTAATAATAAAAAAACTAGACCCTATTGTCATTTTGTTAGGTTAGGGATGCCTAAAACTGGGCAGTCACTTGTTATTGGCCATATGTTCTTGGAGCTGCCTTTTATTTGCAGAAAGTCGCTGCATTGTTTGAAAGAAAGAGTGCAAGAAAAGTGTGCACTTCAACCATCTCACTCACATTCACCACACCTCCTGTTTTCTTGATAAAAGTTAGGCATACGCCAGTTAGGTCTAATATCCATAATTAAAACTGTCTTGCCGATGGTCAATTTTACACTGCTGTATCCTCTGTAGTATCTACATTTTTGTAGTACAGCCCTAGCCTGCGCTTTTTGTCTCTAGTAAGTTTGTGCCTAGCCTTGCTCATTAAAATTGTTCTACTGCTGGGCAATTTTACCTTTTAATTGTATCTGCAGTCTCCTAATTCTTGTAATTAAACACCTGCCTGTACTCTTTGGGATTTATTTACTAAAGGCAAATAGGTTTTTCAATTTGAAAGGACATTTTCACTTTCCAGAGGAAGTTTCCTCATAGTTTAGTGAATGAGGTGAAGCTCTGCTGAATTCAATAATCCAGTCATCGGCTAGAAATAATACTGTTTTAAAAAAAATGTCATTGCACATGATTGATCCTTTGGAGAGTGAACTTTCACTGCATTCACTAAACTAAGGCAAATGTCCCGTAAAAACTAAACAGCCTATTTGCCTAGTAAAACAACCCCTTTGTCTCTATTACATTTTGGCGTATTATCCCTTTTTTTTTTTTTTGAGTTTTGTTTATTCAGTTTTCCATGTAAATACAGAACAACCGTTTCCTCCTACAGCAGTAGGGGCACATAACTTAGTTGCTAACAGTTATAGCTACCAGTAATAACAATACAGAAGGCCTCCTGCACCTCCTCAATAATTCAACCCCCCACTCCTCCCCCCCACTCC